TGTCCAGGAGAGACCAGGAGCAAAAGAAGAGGGTGAACTCGTGCTCTGACTTCAGAACGGAGATGTGATCGTCTCCGAGACCGTCAGGCCAAATAGAAGTGAGAAAGCCGAATTCTTCCTCCTTTAATCTGTACCACGTGGTGGGGTCGCGCACTTCCGGTTTCTAGGTCCCGCAAAATAAATGGTTCGTGGGGGAACATCACCTGCCAAAGTCATTGCCCGGCATTTCGGTTCCTACACTAAACTATTAACTTGGGGTTTATTTACTGTGGGGTTTATTTTTCTCAAGCTTGAGGCTGAACGAAGCCATCGATGACTGTTCAATACGGTCCTTTGTCTCGGTTTTTTTTCGGGGGGCAATTTACATTCAATTTACTTTATATATAACATATCTTAAAATATTTCATTTATTATACCAGTTTATTTACAAAATTCGTATACATTGTCACAAGTTTCTTCCCATTTAAAATATTGCAACCCCATAATTAATCTCCCCACGAGCGGACATACTCACCCCTCTACTTCGTCCTCCCGCCATCTGATCCTCAACCTCATTATATAAGAATGGTTTTATACAATATTCTCTCTTTTAGCTGAAGATTATCCAAAAACGCATGGAGCACCACATCACCAGAGAACTGCCAGACGTCCAGGCTGTGTTTAAAAGGGCCCCTGGTACTAGGGATATTGTAGCTGATGTTAGATGGATCTTAGGTGAAAGCAGGGAATACCAGAGGAATGTGTATCTGTGTTTCATTGACTATGCAGAGGCATTTGACTGTGTAGATCATAACAAGTTATGGCTGACTCTGAGAAGAATGGGAATCCCAGAACACTTGATCGTACTAATGAGAAACTTATACTTGCACCAAGAGGAAGTAGTCAGAACAGAGCAAGGAAACACTGCATGGTCCAAAATTGGGAAGGGCTTATGCCAGCGATGTGTCCCGTCTCCATACCTTTTCAACCTTTATGCAGAGCAGATCATCCAGGAGGCTGGGCTATGTGAGGACAAATGCGCCATCAGGATTGGTGCAAGGTCTACCAACAATATACGTTATGCAGACGACAACACCTTGCTTGCTGAAACTGAAGAGGACCTGAGGCACCTGCTGGGGAGGGTCAAGGACTGCAGCCTCCAATATGGATTGAGACTCAATGTCAAGAAGGCAAAGATTCTCACCACTGGACTAATTGGCAGCATCAGGATGGATGGAGAAGAGACTGAGATTGTTCACAGCTTTAGTCTGCTTGGCTCCACAATCAACAGTCTCGGCACCAGCAGCCAGGAAATTAAAAGACGTATTGAGATGGGAACGTCTGCTCTTAGGGACCTTGGTCTGACATACTTTGGTCATGCTGTAAGGAGAGATCGGTCCTTGGAGAAAGACATCATGCTTGGGAGGGTGGGGGAAGGTGCAGGAGGGGAAGGCCCTCTGGGAGATGGATAGATTCGGTGACTGGGGTAATTGCGATGGGTGTGTCCTAGACAGTGAGATTGGCACAAGATAGAGCAGAGTTTAGAGCTGTTGTACATACAGTCGCTATGAGTCGCAAGCAACTCAGTGGCACATAAGAAAAACAGTTAACAGTGGACTGAGCATCAGTATGGATGGTGAAGAGATTGAGATCGTTAAGATTTACTTTACTTGATTCCACAGTCAACACTCTTGGTAACAGCAGCCAGGAAATCAGGAGACGAATTCTACTGGGAATGTCACGTGTGAGGGATCTCACAAGCGTGAGCTGATTGGATTTGCGGGATTGAGCTAACAATGAGCTCTGGGCTGGAAGTGTCTTTTTATTGTCAATCAGGACGTGATGTATTTAAAAGGCCTTTATAGTGAAAAGTCGGTTAGTGCCAGACTAAATCTCCATTTTGGACCCTCGTGTGTCAAATAGTAGTTGAGGGTTTGACATGGAATGTTTATTTGCCATTTCATTCCCAACAATGTGTTAGCTGATTGGATTTTTTGGACTTAACTAACAATGAGTGAACTGGAAGCCTCTTACATAGAGTCAATAATTACCTGCCATATTTATTTATTAGTAAAGTATTTTTTTTTATTTTTGGTGTTGCTGTTGTGTGCCTTCGGTGTGGATCTGAAAGGCACATGGTTTGAATCCACCAGATCCTCTGCTGTAGAAGGAGGGGCAATCTCCTCCTGTACCAGTCGGATCTGGTTCAACATGGCACATGCACAAAAATAATAAATTATTATTACTACTAAGAATAATAATAAAAGAAAAAAAATTGATTGTGGTCAGACTAAATTTTTTTCATTACATTTTTAAGAAAATGTTTAGGCACACCTTAATCTTTTTAATGTCCCAATTCATTTTCATTTTTATTTCATTGTAGTCCATCTTCTTCCCTTCCCCTCTTCACTAGCCATGCCAGCAAAGCACACATTTTACAGATAATTTATATATATATGTATGATAATAAGCAAATTCGTGAAGCATTCCATATTTTTTTATACATTGTTTGTAGGATTGTTTAATGGTGCAACCACTCACTTTAGAAGCCAGTTTGACATTTCCTCAAAATCTGCACATAAAAATTCCATATGAACCCCCTCTTACACTGTTTGGAATATACCCCAGGAAAATGAGAACTGAGGCTCAAATGGAGACTTGTACACCAATGTTCATGGTAGCCTTATTCACCAACGCAAGAAGACAGAAAAGAAACCCAGATGTTCAAATACATCCAAGTGTCTTGAGAAAGTATGATACAGTTACACAATGGAATACTATGCAGTATGCAGGAGCAATCATTTTGTAAATTATTACCTAATTCTGGAGAGATTATGAGTCTTATGCTGAGTGAATTAACTCAGATGCCCAATAAGGCAAATATTGTATAAAACCATTACTGTATAAGGATCCAAGAGGAAGGTGGAAGTTGAAAGGTGAGGACATGAGCTGGTTGGGGGCTAATTATGGGGTCACAAAATTTGAAATGGAAAGGAACTAGTGTGAAAAACAATGTATTCTAATTTTGTAAAGAAATAGTATAATTAAAAATAAAATACATTTAAGATTTGTTATTTATAAAATATTAGCAAGTTGCCCCTCAAAAGAAAAAACACGACAAAGCGCCCCACTGGAGGGTTATCTATGCCTCTGTTCACCCTCAAAGATAGTAAGCTTTAGGGTTAATAAACCATACAATAGTTTAAATAGAAGTGTTAATGTAGGAACTAAAAGGCAGGGAAATGACTTTCGCAGGTCATGTTCCCCGCACGGACCATTTAAGGTGACGCGCCCAGAAGACCCGGAAGTGCCTTAGGTGGCCTCCGTGAACCGGAGAAAGGAGGGAGAATTCTTGCTTCTCCCTTCCATTCGGCCTGGCGATCTCGGAGGCGATAATATCTCATTTTCTGAGTCGGCGGAGGCCGCTTTCCGTCGTCTGTTCGTTCCCGATCTCTCCGTGACACTCGCACTTCCGGTGGTGCTCACAGACCTCCTTCCCCGAGCTGCTGCAGGGGACCCGCGCGTGTCGCGCTGCGTTTGCAAGAAAATGTTGCATTTTCTCCTAGAAAATGGCTTGCTAACAGGTCAGTGTGTCCCCTGGAGGTCTGTGCGCTGTCCTCCGGGACACCGCGGCCCCGAGGGCATGATCAGGGCTTGACGATACGCCCCGCCCTAGCTCTGTCTGTCCTCCTGTCTGTCTGCAGTTTCCCCCGCAACCTGCACCCGCTCTGCCTCTCTCTGTCTTGCCTATTTGAGTTTCCCCTCCGTCCTGTGTGTGTCGTTATCATTTCTTAAAGTCGCCGCCTCTGGATCCTTTTCTGCTTTGACAAGAGGCCAAAGTGACAGCCCATCCCCCTCCCTGCACCCCCAGTGTCTGCTTGCGGATTTCTGGGGGCTCCCAGGCACTTTCCAGCATTTCTATTTAGTATAAAGCAGGAAAATTGTGGTGAGAAAGCGATCTGGGCACGGGTGATGGTTCTAGGGGCTTAAGACATGACGAAGATAAAGAATATGATTGGAAGCGAATATGAGTATTTGGGACCAGGCTCATCCCAGTTAATGCAGAAAATATTTAGGAAGAGGCGTGTCCCCGGGATCTGGGTCTGCATCAGGGAGACACGGTGGGTGCAGACTCTGTACGGAAACAACGCTTCCCAGGTGCAAAGCCAGCTTCCCACCAGGAAAGTGGGAGACCTGTCTGCAGGTGAAGTCACACCTGGCCAGGTTGCTGCACAGAAGCCACACCCTGCAAAGCCCTCTGCACGCAATGCAAAGGGCTTACATTTTAAAAGTCTTATTACGGATATTGGTGCTATTTTATAAATGTATTCTCTTCTTCTGTGTTTGACGCTTAATCTATATTTTAAAATCTACCTGGAAAAACGATGCTTGATTGGTTTTCAGTGCAATGTAAGTAGTTGTGTTCTAGGTTACTTTTCAAAAGAGCAAGCTCATGGAATTGCCTTAGTGCATTCCTTAAATAGTGAAGTTGCTAAACTGATTTTGTTGTTTTCCCTCTATTTTAGGACCTGCTAAGCTGGTCATACACTAGGGAAGATAGAAGGAGAATTGATGCCTTTGAGTTGTGGTGCTGGAGAAGAGTATTGAGGGTACCATGGACTGCTAGGAAAACAAACAGATTTATCTTGGAGAGGATTAAACCAAGCTACTCCTTGGAGGCAAGGATTCTCAAACTTCGTCTGGCATACTTTGGACATTTTGTAAGGAGGGACGGGTCCTTGGAGAGTGACATCATGCTTGGGAGGGTGGAGGGACAGCGCAGGAGGGGAAGGCCCTCGATGAGGTGGATTGATTCAGTGACTGGGGTAATCGGGATGGCTGTGTCAGAAACAGTGCAATTGGCACAGGACAGAGGAGGGTTTAGGACTGTTGTACTAAGGGTCACTGTGATTCTCAAGCTACTTGATGGCACATAACAACAACAAAATGGTCAGGGAATCTTTTAAATGGATATTCCGGCACTGGACATCTCCATCTTCACTACTTTTTGTTATAGTCATGCATTTTGTTTTGCTTTATGATCATGGCTTTTCAAGTTATCCTTTTAAAATCTTATTTTGGGCATAGTTACCAAACTGACTTTTTGCATTTTCATGCACTTTTCTGCATACAGGTCTGTGCCCTTATCTTGACAGTGTCTGGCACCTGTAACTGCTATTGCTTTCCAAGTTTTTCTCTCACCTTTTTTCTTTTTCCTCCCACCTTTTCATGAAAGTCCTGCATCTTGAGCATTTATTCTCCATCTTCGTCCTGGGAAATAGAGATCTCTGTCTATATTTTAGATTACCTGTAACTGGAATCTGTTAATACCTGTCCTTGTGTGTCTGTTATTTTTCAAAGTAGTTTAGTTTTAAGTGCCTTTCTCAAATCCTGATATTTCCCATTTCCTTCACCCCCTCCCACCCAGTTCTGCAATCCTGTAGTTCACCCCTAGCCGTCCTCAGCCTTCTGCTCCTAGCCTGACCCTCCTTAGCCTTCCTTATCTATTTTCCTAGTTATTCTTTTATGTTTACAATCATGGTTTTATGCATTATTTTTCTTTAGGAGACTTAGTTTCAACACTCAGCACAATGTTTTCTGCTCTCTCCTATGTTACATATTATTTTTCCAATTTGTTGCTCCTGAGTGCTGTATAGTAGTCCATTGTGTGAATAGATACTTTGTCTCAATCCATTCACTTTGATTTGGACTGTTGAGCTGTTTCCGTGTTCTTGTGATGGTGAATAACACTGCTATGAACATGGGTGTAGAAATCTCCCTGGGTGTCTCAGTTCTAATTTCTTTGGGGTATATTGCTAATATCATCTGGAGTTTCTGTTTTCACTTTTTTTAGGATACATCTAAAGATAACATTCCACTTTTTTTAAACATTTTTTTTTACATTTTTATTATTTTGTGTGAGTGGACCATCAAATCGGATCTGACTGGTACAGGAAGAGATTGTCCCTCCTTCTCCAGCAGAGAACATTGAAGTGTTGGTTTTGGTTTGGGGTTTTTTTACTTGTAGAGTTTCTCTCTCTCTCTAATGTGATTTTAACTAAAGTTTGCAGAGGGGGGGCGATTTCATTCATTTATTGGTGCACACACATTGAAGTTTTTGAGGAAATGTCTTTCACTGTGGTTCTAACATTTTACAATCCCACCCACATCCTTTTCAACGTCTATTGCTTCCTTCTCTGCTAAACTTGTCTAAAAATGTTGAACGCATTATGACTTTGTGTGTCAGCCTTGCACAGGGGCCATGCTAATCTTCTGTCATTAAAAATTTTAGGAGGTATGCACACCCATGTTTATTGCAGCTTTGTTCACAATAGCAAGGAGTTGGAAACAACCTAAGTGCCCATCAACAAACGAATGGCTAGAGAAGCTGTGGTATATTCGCACAATGGAATACTATGCTGCATTAAAAAACAAGGAACTCATGCAATATTATTCAAAATGGTTGACTCTGGAGAACATTATGCTGAGTGAAATATCCCAGTCACAAAAGGACAAATACTACATGATGCCACTGTTGTAGAATGGGACTGTCCTTGGGGTTGGGGAGAGACTGAGTAAGATGGGTTCAATAATGTATACTGCACTGAAACAGAGGAGGGAGAGAACCGTCTAAAAGAGAGATGTAACTGGGTATTTTTGTCATCACAGGAGACTAGAGCGAGGGCTGCATGGTGGAGGGGACCTGGGGGAGGGTTTGTAAAACAATGAAAGAATCTTTTCTTTTACTTTTCCATAATTTTTGACTCATGTACTTATAACTTGTTAGTCAAATTTGTGTCTACTAGGTTGCAACCCCCCCATGATACATCTTCAAGGATATGAACAAGTACGGCCAAGCACAATCAATAAGAGTGCATCTAAATTCCAAAATCAATCTCCATAATAGTCTATGTGTTTCCTACTGCCAAAGGGGCCCTTTAGAGTAGTGAGAGAAGATCTTCACCCTGAAACCCACAGCGTCCCTTTTCAGCAGGAAGTAGCTAAGAGAATACGCCGTCCCATTTTCTTAGGAATCAGGGTGAAGTCTCTCTCAGGGAGGAGTGATAGGGAATGGCAAAGGACACACCGACAAAGAAGATTAATCAGAACTGACTTTGACAAGCACTGTGGCAATTGGACAAGTAAAACAGACATTCGGATGGCGGGGAAGAAGAACAAACTCGGGAGGCGGGTAGAGAGAATGGTGCAGCAATGAAGGAATGAAAACCCAAAATCCCTGTAAATGTTCATTAAAACTAATAAAATTTAATAATAAAAAAAAATTTTAGGAGGTATGCGACCAAAGCCCTCTCTAGAGAGGGATTTTTATGGCTAGCATTTTGGTTGTCCGTTGAAGGTTGCCTCAGTCATTGTTCAGCTCTTCAATGCAGATTTCCAGAGCGTGAGCTAATTTCGTGTTTAACACTTTGAAGAAACAGGACACTTTTCGACAGAGGCAGATCTAAGTTACCATCTAACTGCCTATTTTCCACTTTTTTCTTGACCTTACCTGTTGGTTGATTTCTGACTTTGAGCCGTAGACATTCTTCCTGAAATGAATTAGGATTACATGGGGTTCTAATCTGTGTTTTTATCATGACCTAAGGAGGAGGTCCGGTGGCGTCGTGCTAAGGAAATGTGCTGCCAGTGTCCAGGTCTGTGGTTTGAATCCCCCAGCTGCTTCATTGGAGAAAGATGGGCCGTCTCCTCCCATGGGATTTTTCTGCCTGTGAAAACCTTCTGGTGGGGCAGCTCTGAGTGTGTCCTGACTGACCACAGAGACGGACGATAACACAAGAGGCCTTTGTGTTCCTCATGGAAAGACCAACTTCTCTGCTCTGTGACATCCATCAGCTTCTTTAAATCCTGTTTTCAGGATTTAAAACCTGCCGAAACATCCACTGTCAGACAGATGGACTCTTTAGCAGGGAGAGAGAGAGAGAATATGAGAAATGGGACAGACGTCTTTTCAGGGCTTTGGACCACATTTTTTGGGACATGATTTGACTGCTTTTGGTGGTTTAAACATGGTTGCTTTGTAGTTTGTAAACCAGGCCAAAAAAAAAAATTAAGGAGAGAGGAATAGAGTATGGAAGGAACATTAATATTTTAATGATTTCAGATCAACTTTCGGGTCAGTGTAAAGGCCCTGTGCTCACACCACCCGTCTTCTACTGGGTGTGGTCAGGCTGTGCTTCTCAGCACCCATCAGGCATCCCTGTCTTCTATCTATATTGACCACAAGAGCTGAACACGTGGTCAGTACCTTAATAAACCCTCCATTTTTAAAAGTCCCTCCTTTTTTTAGTGACCTGTGTGTTTTCAGTTTCTACTAGATGGCAAAGAACTTAAGGGAAATTAAACCATTATGGTGTTGATGTTGTACAGTGTTGATTTGGATCATGCAGTAGGTTTTCAGACGCAGTTGATCTCACGGGAGGAGATTGCCCTTCCTTCTCCCACAGAGCAGCTGGTGGCCTTCAACTGTGGGCTTTCAGAATTGCAGCTGAAAGCCCTTCAACCATGGGCTTTCCGAATTGCATAATTTGGCTTTTCAGAATTGGAATCTGTGCAAGATCCCAAAGAACAGAAATGAATGTGAGTGTCTTTGTTTTCGCTTTTAGGACAATTTTCTAAGACAACAATATTCTAAGAAACGAGAAGTCCAAGTGGGCTGAGTCACTCTGCTGCAGGAATTGTCTTTTTCTCTGCATTTGTCCTGAAGGATGAGCAGGGGACTGCAGGATCCTGCTTTCGTTTCCAAGGTCTCCGCTCCTGCTGTCCGTCCTGCACGTTTCCAGTCTCTCCTGGAGCCCTGGGCTTTGCTTTTCTCAGTGAATCTCCCTCTTCCTTGCCAAATAAACATCTTTTCTCTTCAATATCTATTTCAGGTTTGAAGAAGAACTAGTCCGGTGCAGGCAGCTGAAGACCAAGACGGACCATTGTACGTTGCTGTAAAACTCCCAAGGATTTCAGCCACCGTGAAGACAGTGGGGGCCGCACACCTGCCTCCACAATACCTTGTGTTCCCTTCACACTGGGAAAGCCCTTCTGAAACGATTTCTTGGTGTTTTAGAGACGATCTGCCTTTAAACTGTAGAAAGTAAAGCAAGGAAATGGTGAGTCCTACATAAAAGTTTTCTCAACCTTAATTTGCTGCCTTAGGATAGAATCTCTGGTGGGTTGGTGTTGTTTTGTTTTTCAGATGCACCATGGTTGGTTTGCCTGTTTATCTGATTGTTTTTAAATAGAATGTATCTTCAATTAATTGTTAGTTGTTGTCTTTGTTGCACATTTTCCCCCCTTTCCATCTTTTTCTGCAATGTATCCGTTGCCCCAGTTTGATGTCATACATGATACGTTCCTGATCGAATGCTGTCTTCGTTATCCGTCCACTCTTTTTCCATTCACTCTTTAACACCCGTCCTATTGGATAACAATGGCGTTTTGCAGTATTTGTCCCTTTCTGACTGAGATCTGTCACTCAAAGTCATTTCCTGGAGTCAGGTCCGTGTTTTTGTACTCTTTTTACCAAGTCATTGTTTTGCAGTCCTGTGCTGTGGTCCATTCTGTGAAGCGTATCAGTGATTTTCTACCCATTCATTTGCTGATGGTTGGTGCGGTGGTTTGCATCTCTTTGGTATGGTCAATAACACAGCATGGACGTGCAGGGACAGAGACTCTTGAGGGGCCAGTTATGTCCTGTAGGAATGTAGTTCCCCAGGGAGGAGAAAATGTGGAAGAATTGTTAGGGGAGCCTCCTGGAATAGCCCTCGGAGGCACCTTCATTCCCTCCTCCCTTCATACCTGGCTCTTTGCCTACTCACAGTCTCTCAGGATGGAATTGTCAAGGTCACTTTTTTATGTGCCCACAAAGACCTCGCATTCTGGGATGTTCTCCTCAACCTGGGTCTTTTGATTCTCTCGTTTTAAAGAAAGATTCTCTCATCGGAACCTGAAGATGACCCAGGAGTGTTGTCTGTGATTTTTCCCACCCTCTTTGATGTTGTAGGGGCTTCCATGTTCCTCTTTCCCATAGGTAATTGTATTTTCTCTTTTATCTTAAGCCTTACAGCTGTGTGGACAATAATCTATTCCTGTTCTACTTCCTTCTCCTTCTGCATCTGTTTAAAAGTGGTGTTTCGTGTGCAGAGACTTTGTCTATTTGTTGTAGTCTTCAGTGAGACCCCTGGAGGAATCGTTTCTCACCAGTGATGGTGCTAAACCTAAGCAGAGACCTTTCGGTTCTGTGAGCAGCTTCGTGAGAGAGAGATGGACTTTTATATTTGTGAGTTTTACAGCCTCAAAACCTATTGCTCTGTCGCTTATTTCAGGCTGGATGGCAGTCAGTTAAAGTCTTGCTGTACAGTTTTCACCCAGATCCACTTTCTAGAACATTTGGTGTATTTCTAATAACATATAAGTTTACCTTCCTTCAGTGCCTCCTCTCTTTCCTCACCATGTTCATTTTGTCCTAGAACTAATTTCGGCACCACATTCTGTGCTCATGTTTTCCCATCGTGAGGAGTGTTTCATGTGTCCTGGTCATTTGATGTCGTCTTTTCTCAGTGGATGTTCAGGCTTCCAGGTCTTTTAGCTGTAGTGGTCAGGACACTAAGGAATTACACAAGTAGCTCAAAGGCAAACACTATACCTGTTCATACCCACCATTGTCATCAAAATCCTGTATAAATAGTATCTTAAAGGGCAAACGAGCGGAGAGAGACACTGCTACCTCTGTTCCTGGCGTGACCTGTTGTTACTCAGGGGCACCTTCCAACAGTGGTCTTCTGAGTGGTTGTGTGAGACAAGAGATCACAGTATTCACAGGTGTGGAATTGGTGTCGCCAAGAATCAGCCGCCTGCTTTTGTCTTGTGTGTGATTGCATCTTACTGTGAATGTAGTGACTAACACTTTTTCATCCAAGTTATTCCAAAGAATTTGCTAATTAGGATCTGGCCCTGGGTTTATCAGGCAGCCCGTCTTTACGATGCAGACCCCCTGCATTCACAATTCATCTTGAACCTGTTCTTCTGTGTCTATGCAGAGTCAGAGCCAGTCCTTTGGAATGAGACTTGATTGAGAGTGGACCCTCCTTGCTTGTTTTCAAAGGAAGAAAATCATGACCCAGGACATTCCTTATCTTTCCCAACGGGCAGATTTTCAGATTTCACATATATTTCTATTTTCTGTTGTCTTGTGTATAAATGTTCACACTGACAGAATTGACTGATTTTTTTTTTTCCTGTGTGTTGTACATCTGATGGAAAAGACTGAATCCATGAAGTACTGAATGTAACTCAGTCCAGGAACCAGTTGGACGTCTAATTCCCTGCCTAAACCTTGTTACAGAATTGAATGTTGTCATATATGCATGATAGTTTTGTTTTGTTTTCTCAGGGTCATATTTTTGTTCTTTTAAACCTTGTGGGACAGACAGGGTATCATTCTGATCCTGAAGATGTTGTGTGTTTTAGGAGCCATTGTCGTCTGAGGACCTAGTCATCCTCTTCAGCCAGGAAGAGTGGGCTTTGCTCACTGTTGCTCAGAAGAATCTCTACAGGGATGTGATGATGGAGACAGTGAAAAGTCTGGACTTCATAGGTAAAAATACAGTTTTCTTTGTTTGAATATGCCCTTAACATACGTACATAAAGTTTTCCTAGCATATAAACAGTGCTTTTGAATTTGCATCTAAAATTTGCAGTTCTGTGTTCAATAGCACATGCATAAACACTTGTCTTTTAGCAATGACATGCACAGAGTTTCTGATTTAGGCACAATTTTTTCTCTGGTACTACTTTTGTTTTCATGACATTAAATGGATTGTCTTCCGTAACTCTTTTAAGTGTAGACATCAACTTGTCAAGTCAGAAACTGGGGGGAAAGTCTTTGGTGTAGTGGAATTAATACGCACTTAGGGCCACTGTACTGGTTAATTGTTAATTTGCTGAAGATTTTTCCCATATTCAGATAGTTTCATTAGCATGTAAGAAATAGATAAAGTTTGTGTGTGGTTTTTTTTGAGGACACAGTCAATCAATGCAGGGTTTTTTCTATGTCAACGGTCCTGTCTCTGAAGCAGTGTGATGCTGTCTGTGTTCTGTGTGTGTGCTGTGTGTCCTGTGTCTGTAGTCTGTGTGTACTGTGTGACGTTTTGTGTGTATACTTTGTGATTTTGTGTGTGTACCGTGTGATACTGTGTATATACCGTGTGATGTTTTTGTGTGTTCAATGTGATGTTCTGTTTGTTCTGTCTGTGGCGTGTCTTCTCTGTGATGTATGTGTGTGCTGTGGGATATGTGTATATGTTTTTTGTTTTGTTTTTTAAAATTATTATTATAGTTTTAATGAACATTTACAGAGATTTTGGGTTTCCATTCATTCATTGTTGCACTATTTTCTCTACCCTCCCCCCCACTTCATTCCTCTTTATTTTTCCCCCCTTGAATGTCTGTTTGAATTGTCCTGTTGCCACAGTGCTTGTCAAAGCCATTTCTGATTAATCTCCTTTGTCAGTGTGTCCCTTGCCATTCCCTATC